ATTTATCACATAAATAACAATTAGCACAAGACTACCAATTGCTTCAATACCTTTGGGATACCAGATTAGCATATTTCTGTATTCAATATAATATTAATCTTAGTGTTTGTGAAGACACCATTTTTTCCTGAAGACAATTTTCTGTAGTAGGAAAACATATATACATTGTATTTATAAAATAAGTTTCTCTCCAGATGTATGATTATTTAAATTTTGATATGAAGAATATTTTTAATACATTATAGTTCCTAAGTTAAACACTACACTAAAGTGTCTTTTTTTAAAGTTTTCCTGGTAGGGACCAGCAGATGGAGTAATGTTTATGTCACTGGACTCCCATGTAGTTGACTGAGGTTTGAGTCCCAGTCCTAGCAACTTTAGACATGTTGGGCATGTGTAGGTGTGCGCCCAAGATCCTGAGAGAATGGAGGAGAAGGGAATGTCACGTGGCCATCCCTTCTGGGGAGTGATTTCATGCTTTCTATCTCTCTTATTCTCTGTCTCACCGGCAAGTACATACTTCCTATGCAAAAAAAATCTCTTAAAATAAAAAAAGTTTCCTGATAATTCTATATCTACTATAGTAGAGTTAAGAAGAGTTTCTAGAGTCCAGAATACCACTGAGGTAATTGGTGGAAAATTTCACATCAACACAGAAGGTAAGCAGGTGTCAAAAGCCTTCTCAATTTGAAGAATTAGTTCAAGAAAGGATCTGCAAGTATATAATTAGAGTCAACATGTCCTGTTTAGCTGACAGAAATGGTTCTCTCACTCTGAATAGCAAGATCGTACTTACTGAAATTTCCTGAAATATTAGCTGGATATATAAAAGAACACAGAAAGTAAGAAAGCAAGCAAGCAAGCAAGCAAGCAAGCAAGCGACGTAAACACAGCAATTTGAATATGAAACTCAAAACCTAACTCCAGTTTTTACACCTAGTGATCCTGACATGGATTCAAAATAATAATGTAGAAGAGTACATGAAAACCATTTGACAGTACTATGGCCGGTTTTATTTCCCAGAGGTTGCCACTGTAACATTTCCATTCTCCTCTATTCTTACAATGTGACTTGGCCAGTCCTTTCAAAGGGTGGTGGTATATTTCTACCCCTAGAACCAAGCAGAAGTTTGACCACAGCAGAAATGATAGTGCAAGTTTCAAGGCTAGTTTATAAAAAGATTTACCTACTTCTCTTTGAGAGCTTGTTCTTAGAACACACTGTCTTGCTGTGAGGAACACCAGGCAGTCTAGAAGAGGCCTACCCTGATTGAAAGTGAATCATCCATCCAGAGCCTTGGCTAAGATTTAGCCAACAGCCTGAATTCATTTGCTGACCATTGACATTAACTATCCTGAGGGTGGTACCCAGCCCTCAATTAAGGTGCCCTAATGTAGGCTGCATGGAAAAAAAAATAAGATATACTCTTGAGAGCTGGAAAAACTGCAGCTTTGAAAGCAAATTAAGCAGTTGTGGTTTGAAGCCATTAAGATTTGGTGGTTTGCTAGGCAGCGATCAATCATTGCTAGGGCCTAGCTTTATGAGTAAACAAATCTAGAACAGTTCATGATGAATTGAACATCCAATATAACCTTTAGCCATCATTATTATTATTACTATTATTACCCCAAATTTGCAGCATGGCTGGTCTCTAGCACTAAACTGCACAGGGATGAGAGCGATGCTCACTGTGTAACCTGGAACAGAGAGGAGAGGAAAGGGTGTGCAACCATCCAGTATATTAGGTTGTTGGGAAAGTCATGACCTATTTTTCTATTTGCTATGCAAAAATACATCATGACTTTTCTGACAACCCAATAAAATTAAGCCAGTACACTTGTTTCTCAAACAGCAGCTTCTATTTCCTTTAATTTCCTCAAAGCACCAAGTACAGCTGACCTTCGAACATGCAGAGAGCGGAGGCACCAACCTTCCCTCCCTGACCTTGTGGTTGAAAGTTTGAGTACAATTTTTTACTCCCAAACATGTAACTTCTCATAGCCCTCTGTTGACCAGAAGCCTGACAACATAAATAGTCAGTTAACAATTAACACACATTTTGTATGGTCTGTGTATTATATACTGTATTCTTACAGTAAACTAAGCTAGAGAAAATGAAATGTTATTAAGAAAATCGCATGGAAGGAAAATACATTTACAGTACCATACTTTATTTTCTAGTGTATTCACAGAAACCATTCATGAATAAGTATGCCCGTGCAGTTCAAACTCAACATCGTTCTGGGTTGAGTGTGCTATTCAACAGTCATCAAACTGGCTCACAGAAAATAAGTGTGGTGATCTTAATACATCCCTTTTCAAGGGGTCTCACTGGTACACTAGCAACATCAGTGAACTCAGAAACATAAACTCTAAAAAGGAGATCTTTATCATCATTCTTTCCACTAAGCCGGTCAAAGAAAAGTGTCCTGTTTACCGTCTTGAATCGTTTTCTTACTGGAATTCAACAAAATAAAATCATGGCTTATAGCTTTAGGTAATTCACATCAGTTTGGGCAGACAAGTTCTGATTAGGCTTTTTGTCTATAAAATTACTTCATTTAGCTGAAAATTTAGATTATGCTCCTCACTCAGTGTACATCATAATATTTATTTTTCTCTAGCTTTTTGTTAAGTTTCTTTCTTTCATGAAGTGGGGGAGGGGCAGATAACAGAGAGATACAGTACCTCCCCACACAGGGTCTTGATGCTGTAATCCACGCCCAGATTCAGTGAGCCCGAGATCATGGACATGCACATGCCTGGCATCCTCAGGAAGGTCTCTGGACATGAACCTAGACCCTTCCCTGTGGATCAGCCTCACAGAGCACTGCGTTTTACCACTCCCCACATTCAGGCCCCTCCAGATTGTTTTGCTCATGTGAGTTAACTGGACCAGTGAGCACACATGCTTATAGAAACACAGTGACTCTCAACCATGTACGGTGGACTAGGAGCAAAGCACTGGATGAAACACTGTGAAGTGAGTAAAATGTAACCTATTTACATTAAGGAGGCATTTCTGTGTTATTCTTAAAAATACCAAACACAGGGGAACCAGCAGTTAGCGTAATGGCTATGTCGCTGGACTCCCACGTAGTCGACCGCGGTTCGTGTCCCGGACCCGGTGGCTTAAAACTCACGCCGGGCGCGTGTGCGTGCGTGCCCAAGATCCCGAGAGGAGAATGGAGGAGAAGGGATTGCGGCGTGACCATCCCCCCTGGGGGGTGATTTCTCGCTTTCTGTCTCTATGTCTCTCTCTGTCTGTCTGGCGAGCGCACGCGCCCTACTGTGAAAAATCTCTCCAAAAAAAAAAAAAAAAATACCAAACACAGGAGGATAGTCTAAACCACAGTTCTCACATATTTGGGAAAAAAAAAATTTAAATCTGTTTCCTCAAAGTCTGACATTGTGTGTGAGTCCGGCTGAGAACCCAGAGAGCTGAATATTTTCTAGAAAAACAGCAAAAATATTAGTTCAAGAGCTGACTTCTAGGAATATGACTCCTCTAAATAGAATATATATATATATATATACATATATACACACACACACACATATATATATATATCAAAATTTAGGGGCAAAATTGATATTTTAGCCTCAGCACTATGTCTTTGGCCTTGTAATTCTTTATGCTTAGGTATACACATCTATCATCTAGGGAGGTCCAAAATGTGAATTCCAAACTGATAAGAATGTATAGCTCTATTAGCATTTTTTAAATGAAGATTTGAGTGTAGAAGATATGTATTTATACTTCTCCTTCCTGCTCCCTTAAAATACATCTTTAAGAGAAAGACATTTTTATTTAAGATTTGTCAGCTCCTACCTCCAAACAGCCAAGCATAATCTCGAACAACATTTCAAAACTCTAAGGCACCAGCAGAGTACCTTATTCACTCCAGTGTCCTCTGCCAGAACTTCATGATTAACTGTGAATTTAGGCCTGGGTGCTGGTACAGCAGTGCTGCAACTGGACCGACATGCGAAGGTCCTGGGTTTGCATCCTGGAGTGCCCTGGGCGTGCCAGGTTTGTGCGTGTGTGCCTGTGATCTAGTCTGGCTGAGAATGGAGTGAACTTCAGTGTGATGATCCTGTCATGATGCGTATTTCTCTTTCTTGTTCTCTTCCTCCCTCTCTCTCTCAGAAGAAATAATTTTTTTACAAAACTATTTTTTTAATTTTATTATTATTATTATTATTATTATTATTATATTTGACCAGAGAAGGACAGAGAAAGAGAGAGAAGGAATATGAGAAAGCAAACCACCAGGTCCAGGACTCCAACTGGTCTCCCATGTGAGAGTCCAGTGCCTTAATCACACCACCACCTGTTGACTCAATAAATTTTTAATATGTAAATTTAAGAAAATATGGGACCAGCAAATGGTATAATGGTTATGTCACTGGACTCCCACGTAGTCAATCACAGTTCAAATCTCAGACCTGGTGGCTTAAAACATGCTGGGCACATGGGCATGTGTGCCCAAAATCCAGAGAGAAGAATGGAGAAGGGATTGCAGCATGATCATCCCCCCAGAACATGATTTCTCACTTTCTGTCTCTGTCTCTTTAGCAAGCGCATGCATCCTATAGCAAAAATCTCTCTTAAAAAAAAAGAAAAAAGAAAATTATGGAGTTTTTCTATAGAGTTTCCTAGGATATGTTAGCAACTAAACTCTGCTGTGGTTCACTGGTAGAAAATGTAAATTAAAATAATATAATATTATAAACACTATAATATTATAAAACAGTATAATCAGCAGTGAACAGTCAAAGAATCAGAAATTGTTGCTTTATGATATACTTTTTACTTGTACTTCATTATGCCTTGTGATGAAAAATACCTTTGATAATATTTTTGGACATAAATATTTTTAACAACTATATAGTGAATTTTGCTATCAGCATTCAATATATCTGCAAAATACTTGAACTGTATCCCATTGGGATTAACGAAGCGGGAATGGGAGGAACAAAGTGAGAGTACACTCACCGGAGTTCTCAACTCAGGGATGGCAGCTTGATAGGTGAGTGGGCGACAGTCACGAGTGTTTGGCACAAGGACACATGGAAGAAACATTGGACCCAAGTCATCTCCGTCTAGAACATCCACGGTGAGGGTGGTGGTGGTGGTCCGCCGTTCATTCAGATTTTGTGCGCGGTCCTGTGAGAAGGAAAAACAGGACGGTTTATATGTATTAGTCACAGTCATTATTTATTTGTTCTGTTTTTGTCTTGGGGTGAGTGCACTGATGGGAGAGAAAGAAAAAGGGAAAGTGAAAGATGATGTCCCCCCTGGGGGGGTGGCCATGCCACAGTCCCTTCCTCTCCATTCTCCTCTAGGGATTTTGGGCATATGCACAGACCTGCCTGGAATGATTTTTTTTTTTTTTGAGTTTTTTTTGTTATAGGACACATGCACTCACCAGAAAGACAGAGAGAGACAGAGAGACAGAAAGTGAGAAATCACTCCCGGGGGATGGCCATGCTGCAATTCCTTCTCCTCCATTTTCTCAGGATCTTGGGCATGCACTCAAATGTGCCCAGCATGAATTTAAGCCACCAGGTCTGGGACTCAAACTGCAGTTGGCTACATGGGAGTCCAGTGACATAGCCATTACGCCATCTGCTGCCCCCCACCCCGGGAATGATTTTCAAACCACGTGGTCCAAGACTTGAACCACTGTAGGTCATGTGGGAGTCCAGGGCCTTAACCACCATACCATCTACTGGCCTTTTTTTTTTTTTTTAATATGATTGATAAGTAACTCGCTTAAACCAATAGTTAAAAATTGTGAATAGGGCCAGTAGATGGCAAAGCAGTTACGTCGTTGGACTCCCACATGATCGAATGTGATTTGAGTCCCGAACTCGGTGGCTTCTAACTCATACTGGGAGTGTATGTGTGCGTGCCCAAGATCCCAGGAGGAGGGACTGCAGCATGGTCATCCTCCCTGGGGGGTAATTTCTCACTTTACTTCATTGTCCTCTCTCTCTCTCTCTCTCTCTGGTAAGTATACACATCCTAAGGCAAAAGTCTCTTTAAAAAAAAAAATGGTGAACCTGAAATATAAACTGAAGTTTATTTGTTTCAAGCCTACTTTCTTAAAAATATGTTATTATAGCTAAGCTTTTATAGGTTAGGTCTTTACCGAACATTTCACATGAATAGAATAGTAAAAACATGATTTGATAATGGGCTTATTACTTCCTTAGGAATTTGTTTCCCTTCTGAGACAGGTTATAAAAAGAAAAACTAATTTTGACTTGAATAATTCACCAGGAATGCTCTGAGAATAAATGGAATCTTTTTATCATCTAAGTTGAGTAATAACTAGAAAAGAAGTATGTGACCACCATTAGAATCTGTCTGTAAGCTGTGGTAATTTTTCAAACTTACCTGTGATAATGAAAACTGTGGTGATTTTTCCATTTTAAAAACGTTTAGATTTACATAAGAATGGGGAAGTTTGTACAGAGAGTCCCTATATACTCTAAGCCCACTTTCCCTATTATTGATATCTTACAAAGTACGGCCTAGGCGTATCCATCTCAGTTAATTGTACTGGTAACTGGTATTGGCCATGATGGTGTTTCCCTCAGCTAGGCCTGCAGAACCACAGAAGTTCTGCCCCTCCCTCATCTTAGCATACTTACTTAAGAAACTTTGTAACTGTAAATTCTTCCTCTGCTCCTTTGAGATCTAAATCTTTTTAAAAGCCTCTTGTCAGTTTTACAACCCATGCCTGTCTTTTTCAATGACCTGGGAGCCATCCCTTTAAAATGTGGTGGACAAGGAAGATAAAACACCTATCTCCCAGTCTCCATGGGAGCCTAACTTAGGAAGGAAGCTTGCTCTCAGTTAGGCTGAAACTACTTTCTCTCATGCAGCGACAAGGTTTCCTTTCCTTGGGAGAGTCCAATTACTAAACAAAGATAACCAGAGACTCCCTAGCACCCACACTCACCACAGTCCCTAATCATTCTCCAGCCCTTCTTTTCATCAGAGTTGTGTTGAGTTTGAAAATCATGCTGGAACCAGCAGTTAGTGTAACAGCTATGTTGCTATACTCCCACATAGTCAACCGCGGTTCACGTCCTGGACCCAGTGGCTTAAACTCATACCAGGCATGTGTGCATGCGTGCCCAAGATCCCGAGAGGACAATGGAGGAGAAGGGATTGTGGCGTGGCCATCCCCCTGGGGGGTGATTTCTTGCTTTCTATCTCTCTGTCTCTCTCTGTCTGGCGAGCGCACGCGCCCTATAGCAAAAAAAAAAAAAAAACTCTAAAACAATAAAAAAATCACGCTGAGAGTGGTGTGTGTGTGTGTGTGTGTGTGTGTGTGTGTGTGTGTGTGTTCCAAATCCCAGGAGAATGGAGGAGAAGGGATTGTGGTGTGGCCATCCCCCCTGGGAGATGATGATTTCTCACATTCTCTCCCACTCTTTCTGTTCATCTAGCAAATGTGCCCTATGGCAAAAACTTAAAAAATAATAATAATTGCCTGGTACAATTTTGCTCTGACAATACATTACTGTTAACTAAAACCCGTAATTTATTCAGGTTTTTCTGTTTTATACTTAATGTCTGCTTTCTGTTTCAGCATTGTAACCAAGATACCACTTTACATTCAGGCATCGATCGTGTGGTCTTAGGCTCATGCTACCTGTGGTTGGTATCACAACTCCTCAGACTGCTCTTGACTATTTTGTGTATATGTCAGATATTTTGCAGATGGTCCCTCAATGGTTTTGTCTTGTATTTTACTCAAGATCAATGGGGCTTAAATGATTTAGGAAGGAAAAACATGAAATGCCATTTTCACTACATAATTAAAAATGTATTT